GTTTTTGTTGTAGTAGTTGTAGTTGTTTTGGTGGTCGTTTTTGTAGTAGTTGTAGTTGTTTTGGTCGTTGGTTTTGTAGTAGTTGTAGAAGTTGTAGTTGTTTTGGTGGTCGTTTTTGTAGTAGTTGTGGCAGTTGTAGTTGTTTTGGTGGTCGTTTTTGTAGTAGTTGTGGCAGTTGTAGTTGTTTTGGTGGTCGTTTTTGTAGTAGTTGTGGCAGTTGTAGTTGTTTTGGTGGTCGTTTTTGTAGTAGTTGTGGCAGTTGTAGTTGTTTTGGTGGTCGTTTTTGTAGTAGTTGTGGCAGTTGTAGTTGTTTTGGTGGTCGCTTTTGTTGTAGTTGTGGCCTGAGCTGCTGGAGCTGCTCCATTAGCTAAAAAATTAATATTTAGCGGTTTATTAGTAGTTGGAGCAGCGTATTAATATTAATGACTAACTCAAATTTAAAATTATTTTAAAAAAACAATGACGCATTAGAATATAAACATTGACCAATCACGAACCGGGCTGGAAAATGGGTATTAGAATATTTAAAACGACAGCCAATAGGAATAAAGTTTTCATGTTAGTGGACTTATATCTACAATATTATCTATAAATATGGAAAAATAGTTACTATTAATTATGGTTAACAATACACACAAGTTACGAAGTTGCGTGTTATCCTTCTGAATTAATTGAATAAAACTAATTCCAAAGTTTGTTTCATTATCTGCCTTTGTAAATATGTAAAAATTATATTAAAATAATAACTATGAATAATTTTAACTGTCATATTATATTATCTATCTTCTCATTCATTCATTCGTCCGTTCGTCCTCTTGTCCAAGCTTTAAATCACGTTTAATTTGGAAAGTATGCTCCGATATAAATTTGCCATTATAAAGAATTATAAAAAATTATTATTATTAATTATTATTGTTATCGTTATGAATTCTCAAAATATTCAATAATTAGGAACTTAATTCACCATTTTTTAAATGAAAACCTAGACAGATTCTCATTAAATTGAGCAAATTCACTTGAGTTTAGTTCAATTCCTCTCTCTCTCTCTCGCTCACTTTTTCACTCTCTTTATCTGTGTATCTCTCTCGTCTATCTGTCGATCTATTTTTCTGTTTTTCTCTTTCTTAATCTCCGTACAAACACATACAAAGGTGCATGTTCTTATGTATGTATGTATGTGTGTATGATTCGATAATCATATTCGATTCGAACCGACCGATAGCCAGAACCGTTTCTCAGAATCGGTATAATTAAACTCGGCAAACCGCCGATGAAATTAATTTCATTTATTTTCACCTCCAATAATTTAATTAATTGATCGATTGATTGATTAATTGATTGATAAGTGCGCGCATTCATTTACTACTGACTCGAAGTTTGGATTTTTTTTATTTTAATTATGACGAATTTTGGCATAATAATAATAATAATAATAATAATAATAATAATAATAATAAAGGATTTACAACAAAATTATAATAATATTATTTCGAAGTGAATTTTGCGCAATAAGTTATTCTAACTGTTATTATTGTTTGTTATTATTATTATTATTATCATCTATTTTGTTATTTCATTGGTTAAAAATGTTTTTTCAATTAAACCATAACGAAGGATACAAATTTTTTTTCAAAACGTTTATTACGAGAATCTCAACCAGAATAGCCTGAAACCTTGGTAAAAGTATTATCTTAGTTATTATCACTTATTCCAATCATTAATGATAATACAAGGATAAAAGGCAAATAAAAAAAAATCTAACACCAAAGTTGTCTTGCTCAAAAATTGAATGAAAGAATGAATGAATGAATGAATGAATGAATAAATGAGTGAACAAATTAATAGATAAATAAATTTTAAAATTTCTTCTTTCACCAAAATATTTTTCGACATTTTGAACACGTTCACTTCTCGACAATGTTTCTCACTCTCCTCCTACAGTTGGACAAACGAGGTTTTTTCTGAAAATGTAGTAGTAGTAGTAGTAGTAGTAGTAGTAGTAGTAGTAGTAGTAGTAGTAGAAGTAGTAGTAGTAGTGGCAGCAGTAGTAGCAGTACCTACCATTATAACCTTTCCCTGTCTACATAGCTGTTTCCCGCGTGGGTCGTACGGTTGATTGATGAAAGCTGGTTGTTTGGTTGATTAGTTGATTGATTGGTTGATTGATTGATTGGTTGATTGATTGTTTAGTTGACTAATTTGTTTAAAGCTTCAAATATTACTTAGCATACATTTAGAGATATAATTAAAACATTATTTTAAAAAGATTTTACTTTGTCCCACTTACTGAAAACATCCAAAATCTTCCCGTAAATCCTAACTTCCGCTATCACCAACAGTCCGGAGGTCTTACTAATAATCAAATATCGGCCAGTGATGTACCTGGGTTGACATTGGTACATTTTCTTCTGTGACCTACTTAACTTACCTCTCTCACAGGCGCAAACGATGATTTGGCGCGGATCACATGGTCCGCTTGGTTTTATACTGATTGTAAAACCGCCCGAGTTTACGGATGCTGATAATTATTGAAAAAACATTTATTAAAAAAACCAAATTTGAATGAATTTGAGTTGTTAACATCAATCGGAAATAAATTATTTGATAATTTAATTGAAAACGAACTAGTAGAAAGTAAAAATAATATATGGAAAAGGAGTTTGAAAAGAGTAGAAAAGATGCAATGGGACGTAGATAGAGTCTACTTTTATCCGGACTGTTGAATATTTCCACGTAGAACACACTGAACATCTCTCCGAAGTCGATCTCGATCCAAGAAGAACCGCTGAAATCCGGTCCGATAATCGCGTAAGTACGCAAATTATTGTCCAGCACGGCAGAGATGAACTTTTCGGCACCTATGACACGACTCGCTCGGATCGGTTTGTCGATTAATGAAAGCAATTCTGAAGTTTTGAATTCAAACTTTCATGTCTTTTAAATTTTAGAATAATTTTAAAATAATTTAGAAACTTGCCCGGCAAGATCTTCTTCGTTCTGAATGCATAGACTTCAATTCTCCTGATATAATCCAAGTTAATTGGGTTCCTCTTTGTGTTGTGGATGACGAAATATTGGCCGAACAAGTACCTACTGAGACAATGAAACCTCTTCGTACAGAAAGGTGCCATCACAGGTCCGGATCCAACCCGGAAACAGGTGAACTCCGGACCGAAATTGATATCCGATTCTTTTTGAATGTACTTTTTACTTACTATGCCTCTAAAGTTGTTGAATTTTCTGCGAACTTTAGGGGAACAAACAAAAAATTCACTCATACGTACACACACACACGCGCGCACACACACACACACACGCACGCGTGCAAACACACACACGCACTTTCAAAATGTTTGGAGGTGGTGACGGTGACGTATATGACATGATGCGTCGAACCCAGATCCAACATCCACCAGGCTGTTCCATTGGTGGCTTTGAAGGAGTAATAATAATAATAATAATAATAATCATAATAATAATAACAACAATAACAAAAATAATAATAACAGTAATAATTATAAGAAAAACAATATGAAGAATAGCAATTACGAATCAATTGTACGAACTTATATCAAGCATATTTGGACTCCATGTTGCTAATTAATAAAAAATAATAACTATATATATAACAATTAATATTAATAATAATTAATATTTACAATAATAATAATACATAGATGTACTGAACAATATCCCAAAAACAATTCTTACCAACATATCCTTTCTCCCTATCCAGAATAAAAATTTCAATCTTCCGAAACCAAAACTCAGATTCCGGAGTTACGGTATATAGGAGGAATACGTATCGATTTTTGTGGTTCCTAGTGGAGCATGTCAGGCGAATTTTTGAACTTTTTTTGACGGGTAGGAATTTTTCCGATTTGAAGTAAGTGCAGATTCGAGTCGTGTTATCCAATTGTTGGCTGTTACTCGTCAGGATGATAAGTCGTTTGACGGAGATAGCTTCTATTTGTGGTTTTTGTGGTTATTATTATTATGGTATTCTTATTATTATTATTATTGTGATAATTATTATAGTTTAGAAAAATGAATAGGTGAGAAATGTTGTCTAACTTTCAATGTGTATCGTTAAGCCGGTGATGATAATTTTTTGAGATAGGAAAAATCTGTAATAGGTATTGCTGTTGTTGTTTGTGTTTTTTGAGAAAAGGACATTCGTCTTCCATTTCGGTAGTTTGCCTCCGATTTTTTTGTTCTCGAAGTGTTCACGCTGGTACGTTTTTACTGGGAATAGGTTGATAAATGTGGACGCATTTGACGATCGTAGATGTAGAAATTGTAAATGTTATGCTGGTTTTTGCACACACACACACACACTCACACACACACACACACACACACACACGTACATACATACAAACCACACACATATACAATAAAAATACATAACAAACAAACAAACTCTCACGCACGAACGCACACATACACAAACAAACACAAGACAAACAAACCTATTCTAAACGTATTCATGTGGTGTACTACAATCTCCAGCTCAGCAATTGCGGAAATGTTGTAGTACAAGACATCTTTCCTAATTCTCAACTCCACGTACCTGCCCAGGACAGGGCGAGGATAACACTTGAAGAATTTCTTACTCGAAGGGGTTGGGGCTGACCCGAGGTAGAAAGCGCAAATTTCGGTCGCGAACATTTCGCGATACTCCGACTCGCTTTCAGTCGCCGTTATGATGAAGTTTTGTAGAGTTTTTAGAACTGTTAAATATTATTTCGTTTAAATATTTTTAATGTTTTCATTGAAGTTTAATTAATTTCACAAATTCCCAAATTAATAATCAACAAAAATGACGGCAAATCATCAAAAAACAACTACTTGACCAACTCTAAAAACTCTTAAACCTCCTTAAAAAAACTCGACTCACCTCCCAAACTACCTCTCCTAAAAACTCACCTTCAACATTTTTGCCGGCAACCACCCACACTCCATGGATGGTGAAACTTTTCCTCAGGTCAACTTTCCAGCTGCCGTCAGCTTCCACGTCGTCACCATTCAAAAAATTTGAACACACGTACCAGTTGACGAAGAGACTGAGTATAGGGTCGAATTTCGGCTTCGTTATAGTCGGAGGTGGTCCGTGAGAGTAGGTAACTATTGGGGTGAGAATAGTTTGCACGAATTCTTACGTTGCAGTGTTCTAAGTTTGTGTAGTGTCCTAATTTTGTACAATTAATTTATCACTATCTGCAAGTTTTTTATTACGTTCTCAACATTAAAACAGCAGCAGGCGAAAAAGAGGGGTTGTTCTACTGCATCTTTAAAAGCTTCTCGTTGTCGCGTTATTCAGAAAAGTAATAATAATTATAAAAAAAAGCAAGAGAATGAAAATGATCATGATATACCTGTATAAAATTTACTCTTCCATACGTATACCACTGTAGTTTCGAGCAAGCTCAGTGCATAGAGACCTCCAAACGGTCTCATGAGAACCACGTATCTACCCGCCTGGGCTCCCAAGTAGCAAATGAATTTTTGATTCCTCTCACCAGATGGCCTTTTCCCCAATCTGGCAGAACAAATTTGAAATGTTTGGTTGATGGGCTGGTAGATATCTTCGCCGACGTAGATGTAGAAGAGGTTCATTGTGGCTGGGTCTGTAGGGGCGGGAGGGTTGTGAGTTTTGGGAAAGATTTGTTGGGTCGAATTTACATATTCGAGTTGTTTAGAAAGAAAATTGTACTCATGAAATAGCAAGTTAAGTATTAAGTTAACAGTAAGCTAGGAAGTGTATTTAAATTTTTAAAGTTTGTTTTTGAAAGGTTTCGTCTAGGAAATGAGAAAATAAAATAAATGCCTGCACAACTTCAAGCGAAACAACACTCAATCACAGATCAACAAGACCAACTCTTTCCAACTGATATGGCAACGGAATCAACTTGAGTTTGGTAGACCAAATCCATTATCCAATATCCTAATTCTTGCCTCTCTTGCCAGCTAACAACCATGAAACAGTTGTAATTGTACCAGAGTTCTTTTACTTTTTCCAAAGTCGGTCTCGCGTTTAGACGGTCATTTATCGGGGTTTGAACTGCATTGAAGATAAATTTATAATAAAATAATTAATTGAAATTGGTATAATATTCGATCGTATAAATAAAAATATAGGCAAAATAATTGTGATTTTTTTTTATTTAAAAATATCATTTGCAACTGACTCAACGCGTGAAATCCATCTTTAACTTCTAGAATAACATCAATCTTTGTTATCGCCGAGACGTGGTAGAACACGTTTGCTGATGTAATTATGACTACGTATCGACCTAATTATAAAAATATTTAAAACAATTATCATAATTGCTAATATTTTTATATATTTTTCATCATTTTCCCCATCTAAACTTCGCCTATGGCCTCACAACTTAACCTCAAAATATAGCTCTAAAGTTCAAACCTTGAACCGGCTCGGGCAGGCAGACGAACCTCTTCATCTTATTCGGGTCAACTTGTTTCTTGAGGTTGACCTTTTGACACTGTTTCAAACGTAAGTGAAATGGGGAGGTGTGGAATTTCTGGGGCGGGTTATCTGAGGTCGAGATTATCAAACGCTGCAACTCCGAAAGAACTAGGGCGGGCGTTATGTTATTACTGCTATTATTAATAATAATAATATTATTATTATTATAATTATTACTATTAATTATATTATTATTAATTATACTGATACTGACTCACCATTCCTAGCCAGTCCGCTGGTGATTCTCAGTTCGGTGATTTTATACTTCCCATCCAGTTCAATCATCCACCAGCCCATATTGTCTGCGTTCAGTTGCTTGAAGAATATGAATCTGTACTGCAGGCTTGGCTTCAAATCCAGATTCTTATAATGGGGACTAAGCGATTCTATCGTTATCTTCTGGGTTACTGGAAACATTTGGGTTTGGAATTTGTTAAAACAGATTAATAATTAGTTGTTTATGTAATTATGAATATTATTAAAAAAAGTTTTTATCAGTAGCAGTGGTAACTGAAGCAGTAGCAGTAGTTTCAGTAGTATTAGTGGCTGTAGTAAGTATTGTAGTAACTGTGGCAGTAGAAGTAACGATTGTTTCCACCAATCTACTTACTGATTTTCTTGGACCTCTTCTGGTCGACTACGACCTCTATGACTGAAAGGGATTTCACCATGAAACCTCCCTCAGAACCGGGGCCCTTAATTTTCACAAATTTTGCCTCTTTCGACCCAGTTTGGCAAAAAAATGTCGATGATTTCTTCCTCATCCGGCATGGGGTGGTTGGATTGTTGACGTCTCTCTCCATGCTTGCGCAAATGTTGACGCCTCTTAGATGGTCTGTCGAGGGGTGTTGTTTCAGATTGGGATTTGATTCGGATTTTTAAAAAATCGAAATAACCATAAACATAATGATAGAAATTTAAAATTTGGCCAACCAATAAAAATCTTCTATCTGGTTTCAACAGCCAATAAAAATCATTCATAACAACTTCCGACAGCCAATGAAGTTCACCCAATCAATTGAAATCATCCTTAAACATATTAGCCACTTGAAATCACTCATGAAATTTCAACCTTGTTGGCCATCTAATGGGATGAGGCGTATGACAACGACCTTGAATATTTCTTTAAAGGTCATGAGCCACCAGCCAATCAGATCAACGTCACCCCAGCTTGACGTGTCGTAATAATCCATTACAACTGGGAATTTGGCGCTAGAAATTTCTTTCACGTTCTCTTGTTTCGTCTTCACTTCAACTATGCGTGCGTGCGTGCGTGTGTGTGTACGTGTGTGTGTGTGTGTGTGTGTGGTGTACGTGTGTGTGTGTGTGTGTGATGTGTGTGTGTAACTCAATTAACACTTCAAACAAAAAATATCCGTATTTAACCGACCTAGTTCTGTTGAAGTTTTCTTAACGAATTTGAAATTACAAGATTGAATAATTTTTCGGCTAATTGGTCCGTATCCTTTGTTCTTCACTATGTAAGTGTATCTACCTGTCTTAAAGCCATACAGGCAGGCGAATGTTTTTGTCTCGGACTTTTTAAACGGTCTACCGGTATATTTGTAGCAGAGTTTGAGGGATTTCTTGAGTTCGTTGAACGTCACATCTCTTTTGAATGACAGAGTGCCAATAAAGATTGAAAAATCGGAGAGTTTTTTATTATCTGAAGACGTTGATGAACGATTTGTTAATCATTCATTCCTCCACCATCCATCCATTCATTCATCCATTCATTCATTCACTCACTCATCCATCCATCCATCCATCCATCAATCCATCCATCCATTCATCCATTCATTCATCCATCCATTCATTCATTCATTCATCCATTCACTCATTCATTCATCCAACCTTTAACGCAAGCGCAACTCTCTATGGTTACTGAGGCGACATTTTGCACTGAACCAAAATCATAGTAAGGTTCATAAATCAACCCTATAATAATAATAACAATAACAATAATAATCATAATAATAATAATAATCATAAATATAAAAAAAGAGCAAACAAAGTCATGATAATAATAACCGGTAGAGAACTCTTTCAAAGCGGTCGTCAGTAGGATGGCGATGATGAAGTG